ATGGAAAAATCTGGTTTCTGCTAGAATTATTTATTTAACTACTTGATCCAATTTCTGTCCCACTACAATCCACCTCAGTGGACTTGACAATTCTCGGTTAACAGTATTTGAATATGTTTTATTTTCTATCAATCCATTTGGAAGAGGGGAGGAACATATTAATTCAAAGGTTACCTTCAATTAATATCACATACCCAATATCCTGTGATACTAGTTTTCCTATAATTTATTACTTAATGGATTTATCTTTTTCTTACAATATACATATAGTTTTCTATGTTTTGTTACTTTCTAATTGTTTCTCTTTTTATTGTTAGATACTACAGTGTAGTCACTCTTGTTTCAATACTTCAGGTGAGTAGAATGTACATACAATATGATGAAATGAGATGATAAAATATCAAGTTGATATATTGGCATGATTATGCATGATCAAATGGTGCTTTGTAAATGTGGGTTAAGGTTGTATATTCCAGATTTTATTCTAGCATTCCAGATTTTAGGCTGCAGGTATGGCAGAAGTTCTGTGATCACAGTGTTATGTAGCCTAAAGGCAAAAATTCATTAATTATTACTTTAAATGAACATACTATACTATAATGCTACTTGATGTTATTTGATTATTTCATGTAGTGCTAATATTATTACATGCCACTATGAACTCTGTTGGAATGCTTTTGATAAGTAATTAGTAGGAATTCCAGCATAGCTAAAATGCTACAACTCTATCACTATTGACTGAAATCTCTTCTTTCTCTCCCACAGTACTCCAATGTCTACTGCACAACTCCTAAAGTTCAGGACTTAGTAGATGACAAATGCCTGCAAGATGAATGTCTCTCATATGTCACAAAACCAGGTAAAGAAGCATGTGTCAGTCTGTGCTCCATTCAAAATCCAAGAAAGAAATACTTAGACTCCATAGATTAGAGAAAAGAATTCTTTTACTGAAAAATGAAATGGTAGCTTCAGGTAAAATTCTGAATCTGAGAAATTAGGCACACAAACCACATATACAAAGTGATGGAATTGTTCCCACCCCCCAAAGTTCAAAAGATTCTTCCAATTAAAAGTTCTGGATATGATCATGTGGACACCTTCAGGTGGTGATGAGGCCTCTGTCCGTTGACCTTGGCATATTTTGATAAAGATTTGCAGCTGCGCAAAGGAAAGAAAGCTAAGTGAGAAATAGAAAGCTAAAAGCAGGAATTTATACTCCCCCCCCCCACTCCTCATTTACACAACACAAGAATGTAACACCTCCAGCTCTCTTCCTAGACAATCCCCCCCCCCCCTTACTTATGGCAGCCAAAAGATGCAAAGCAGTAGCAGAAGATCTTGAAGGCTGACAGCATGGATGGCTGAAAGTGCAACCCTGTTTGTATCAGTTCAAACTACATCCTTGGGAGTTGAGTTGGACATAGTTTCAGAAAAGTGTGTATTTTCCACCTAATCCAGAGGGAACTATAAAATTGGTCCTTCTCATACTTACCAAGCATGTTGATATTCTTCCTGTTAAAATATTTAGGAGAGATTGCATAAAATCAAAGGTTATTAATATAAGCTATTTACTAAGCTATTGTAACATATATTTCTATAAAACAATCATTTCATGACAGAAGTAGCCATTTGAATAATATATAGCAGATAAAATGAATTGGTTTGCTCTTGGCTGACTTTCAGTCCAAAATAAAAATCTCATAACAATTGAATTGCTGGCACCGTCACTGACCACAGCAGTTCCATAAACTATATTTGGCAGTATAGATTAATTTGCATCCAGTCTTGGAAAGTTATTTTTAGTCCTTATTTAGGACTAAATGCAATCCACATTGTAATATTGAATGCTGTTCTTACTTAATTTTTAGCTATTTTGACATCTTCAACAGCTTTCCCAATTTTGTTCTGTGACTATTTCCTATAGGACACAAGCGGGCCAGTTTGAGAGATGTTTTCCAGCTCTACTGTGGACTGAGCCCTGGGACAACTGTTCGAGACCTTATTTGCCGCTATAGCCTCCAACTCCAGAGAGTGGATGAAAGGTAGGAAAGCTTCCCCTCCCTTCAGAAAACCCAATAATTCAGCTATATGCCGCATAGAGCAATTAAAGGCTAAATGTGTGTGATTTCAATCTAATCACTGTTGTCTCATCTACAAGGCCAAGACTTTTGCTTGAGAGAGCACATTTGTCAAACTACAATTTCTAGGGCTCTATCTAGACAAGTAGAAACAGCACAGGACCGCTTCCTTAAAATGGATATATATTTTCAGACCAAACATATCCTTTTCTTCCTTGCAGCTGCCAGATCACATAATAATGAGCTAAATCAAAATATGAAGTTCCTTATTTTAATTTTTTTGCTATCCTATTCTTTTCAGTAAACCTGTTTGTAAGAAATGTCTGGTTATTTGATTAGTAGCAATACCATTACTTATTCACATAAAATGACATTCTGGATGCATAAGACTTCTCTTTTAGTATCAACTGGGCAAAGCATTCGTTTGTTTTAGAAAACTTAGAAACTTGGGGGTATATGGAAAGAGAAATAATTGCCATGATCTTATTTGTGTCAGGGCCCATCAAACATGTAATATGTACATCATATACTGTCTGCCAATTATGGCAGGTAGAAATTTGATAATTCTGTGCCTGTTGGTTGATCTTAAATGGTCCTTTGAGCAATTCCCTCTCCAAATAAATATTTCTACTCATTAAATATGGAAGAGACTCTTGTATTCTCACATCTCTTTTGATATTTATATTAAAAAAAATTCCATGCATGTGTGAAAGACTAATAATAGTCTGTGGTATAGTACAGAAAAAAAACAGTCCAAAAGAACAAGTTTCTGTACCAGCAATACATATAATACCATTCCTGCTGATCTCAAAATTGTTTTAAGCAGCTATCTAGATGGATATCAAAAAATGAAGAAGCACTGCACAGTGTCTTAAGAGCCGTGGTGGCTCAGTGGTTAGAATGTAGTATTGAAGGCTAACTCCCTGCTCGCTTGAACAGCTCAAGGGTTGACTCAGCCTTCCATCCTTCCAAGATATGAGAACCCAGATTGTTGAGGGCAATATGCTGACTCTGTAAGCTGCTTAGAAAGGGCTGTAAAAGCACTATGAAGTAGTACATAAGACTAAGTGCTATTGCTATTAAATATTTCTGCATCTTTCTCTGAGCATATTCTTCTCTTGTTTAGAAAACTCATCCAGTTTGGTTTGATGAAGGGTCTTATTCGGCGGCTCCAGAAATATCCTGTAAAAATAGCTCGGGATGAAAGAAGTCATCCAGCTCGACTGTACACTGGCTGCCATAGCTATGATGAGATATGTTGTAAAACAGGTAAGGAATCATATTCCCTGTATTCATCTACTCAACACATACAGTAACTTATTAACATAATAATAACATAACAAAACAGAAATAAAATAATATTTTAAAAAGTAAATAAGAGTAACATTATATCAAACAGTTCTGAAGCCAGTTCAATCTTTAGATAACTTGGGAAATATAAATCAGCTTCCTTAGTTTGCCTAAGCAATGGAATTATACGAATGCTCTTTCATCATCATTATTATTTTTTTATTTCTCTATAGGAATGAGCTATCGGGAATTGGATGAAAGATTAGAGAATGATCCCAATATAATTGTCTGTTGGAAATGACACTCTTCAAGGACGATTAATATGCCCTGCTAACTTTTAATTGGGCTGCATGAGACATTGTGGTGTCCTCAGGACTCTTCTGGCTCATGAAAAGCAGTATGGCTTAAACTGTGGTAGTCCCTGAAAAAAATATGGCAAATGGATTTGACTCTTTGGTCAGCAGAGATGCAGAACCATGCTTCTTTTTGGGGGAAGGACTGTTAAAAGACACACACACAGGTGCATAAAGAAACTTCAGAAGGCTTCTGTGTTGAGCAAGGGATAAAATAATTTGAAAATAGTTTGGAAGGAACTGAAGTGGAAAAATGTCTAGCAGGGAATGCTGTACCATAAATCCTCCCCCTTAATCTGCTGCTCTTCAGCAGCAGAAAAAAAGTCTATTCTGCTTATTACTATCTCATTCTGGATTTTTCCCATAACTAATAACCTTTTTTTTTAACAAAAGGAATCTGGATGTATCATACCCACTTGAAATCCTGTAAGAGTTTTGAAAAAAAATCTGCAGATTATAAATCATGGATAATCATTCTAATAAAAAGCAAGCACAGTATTTTTAGGAAGTAAAATACTGAAGTGAAATTGTGGAAATAAAACTGCAGCATTGTTATATTTAATATAATTGGGCTCAACCTATTTATCTTGTATACTTTTAAAAACTATTGGTTGTGAGTAAGAATGATGGGCCTCTTCTATTTTATAAAGCTCATATAAACTAGAATATTTTTCTGTGGAAATTTAATGCGAATGCAGCACTTGAAAGGGAAACTAAAGATAGTAAAAATAAAATTGTGTGTAGAATCTCTAATTCATTATTTGATATCTTCCTCTTATAAATGGATTAGAGCTTTTCCATCTGAAGAAAATTTGATGTAGGTGGGTGGAATTTTGATAAAATGTGAGTGCTATCACAAACTGACTACTTTAGTAAAAGTAGACAGTGCCAAATACAGGTAGTCCTCATTTATCGACCACAATTGGGATCAACAGCTTGGTCACTGAGTGACATGGTTGTAAAGTGAAACATCACATGACCATGCTAACTAATCACAGCAATTCCAGCTGCAGCCATGAAGCATGATGTCACATGACCAAGTGTGACTTCCTGTTGGCTTCCCCATTGACTTTGCTTGTCAGGAACTGGCTGTGAAGGTCGTAAATGATGGTCACATGATCGCAGGACTCTGCAATAGTTGTAAATGTGCACTAGTTGTCAGGCACCTGAATCTTAAATCACATCAACTTGTGGGGGGGCTGCAGTGGCCAGAACTTTGGGGACCAGTTGCAATCTCCTTTTTCGGTGCCACTGGAACTTCAAATGGCTACCGAATGAGTGATAAGACTTGTATTAATTTGAAACCACACTGAGGATATTTCTCCCATAAGACCTCCCAGAAACAATTAAGCACATTACTTAGCTGTCTTTTTTATGTGGGTGGGTCATTTCCAAATACAGCACTGGACTATATCTCCCCTGTAATTTTCATTTTCTAAGAATGTTCTGTATACATACATACAGCGGGAAATTTAAACAGACTAAGGAATAGGGGGGAAAAAACTCATCTCCCTTCAATCTTTCTGACTAATTTACACTCACTTGCTAACAAGATGGATGAAATTCATCTCTTAAATAGATGGAATTCTGAATTTTACAATTCAGCTGTTCTTTGTTTAACTGAAACCTGGCTTAATCCACAAATTCATGGGGACAACACCATATACACCCCAGGATTTCAGACATTTAGATCAGACAGAATTGAAGAGACATCAGGTAAAACTAAGGGTGGAGGATTATGTTTATATATCAACAACAGCTGGTCTCAGGATATAACTATAATATATAATGTATATATTATGTGCATAATATATGTATATAATATATAATGTATATAATATAATGTATATAACATATAATGTATATATTATGTGCATAATATATATATGTACCTCTTCTTTAAAAAGCTATCCACTGCCATAGCAGAACCTCTAAGCATAATCTTTGAAAAATCTTTCAGGACCAGCTCCTTGCCTAACCTATGATCACAAGCCATGGTCATCCCCATCTTCAAAAAGGGAGACCCCAGCCTAGTTGAAAATTACAGACCAATCACCTTATGCTGCATCACCTGTAAAGTCATGGAATCAATTATTAACCAATCCATTATCCTCCACTTAGAGACAAACAACCTACTCTCTAATAAACAGTTTGGTTTCAGAAAAAACTATCCTGTAATCTGCAACTCTTACACTACAAAAACATACGGACTACACAACTCGATCAGGGTAAAACAATAGACGCAATCTACATAGACTTCTGTAAAGCCTTTGATTCAGTGGTACACGATAAACTACTACTAAAACTAAAATTTTATGGTATCTCTGGACAACTGCATAACTGGATAGAAGCATTCCTGTCAAACAGATAACAAATGGTCAAAACTGGGAGTGTCCTATCAAATTCTGTACCTGTCAATAATGGTGTCCTCCAAGGCAGTGTTCTAGGACCAACTCTCTTCATACTCTATATAAATGACCTCTGTGATCACATTAAGAGCAACTGCGTTCTCTTCGCTGATGATGTAAAGCTGTTCAATACCACAGACAATACTGCTACCCTTCAAAAAGATCTTGACTTTGTATCAGGATGGTCAAACAAATGGCAACTTCAAATCTCAACAAATAAATGCTCTGTCTTATATATTGGCAAAAAAAAAATCAGAAAATAAAATACAAGCTGAATAGTCAAGACCTTGTTGATGATCCAAGTTCTGTAAAGGACAATGGAATACTCATCTCTAATGATCTAAGTGCTAGATCCCACTGTAACTACATAGCCAAAAAGGCATTAAGAGTTGTTAACCTAATCCTACATAGCTTTTTCTCTGGTAATATCACACTACTAACTAGAGCATACAAAACATTTACTAGACCAATACTCGAATACAGCTCATCAGTCTGGAACCCACATTACGCATCTGATATTAGCACAGTTGAGAAAGTCCAGAAATATTTCACAAGAAGAGTTCTCCTCTCCTCATTGTAGAATACCTTATGCCACCAGACTTGAAATTCTAGACCTAGAAAACCTTGAATTACGCCGTCTTCAGTTTGATCTAAGTATGGTATAAAAATCATACATTGCAACGACTTACCTGTCAATGAATACTTCAGCTTCAACCATAACAACACAACAGTAAACAATAGATACAAACTCAAGGTTAATCACACCAAACTTGATTGCAGGAAATATGACTTCAGCAACAGAGTGGTCAATGTCTGGAATACTCTACCTGACTCTGTGGTTTCTTCCCCAAACCCCAAAAACTTTAACCTTAGACTGTCTACTATTGACCTCACCCCTTTCCTAAGAGGTCTGTAGGGGGCGTGCATAAGCGCACCAACGTGCCTACTGTCCCTGTCCTATTGTTTCTTTTATTTTTCTTATATGTACCCATTTCACGTATTCATAACTATGTATATACTTATACCTATTATCTTGTAAGCGATTGACAAATCAAAATAAATAAATATAAGTTCTGTGATGAAAACTGAGTCTTTACATATTAACTGCAAGCCATTTTATTCTCTATGTGAGTTCTCCTCATTTCTCCTAATAGCTGTATATGTTCTTCCACAAGCCTGTGTAAACAAGGCATTACGAACTCTTGCTGATCAAATTATGGAGGCTGAACCCAAATACCCAGGTTCCCTTCCCATCATTTTAGGAGATTTCAATAAAGCAAATTTAAGGAAAGAGCTCCCAAAATATTTCCAGCATGTAAATTGTCCCACCAGAGGCAAAAATACTTTAGACCACTGCTACACAACAGTAAAAGATGCTTATAGGTCTTTACCATGAGCAGCTGTGGGACACTCTGACTACTGCATGATTCACCTTGTACCTGCCTACAAAGACTTAAAAACATGAAGACATGAAACCAACAATTAAATCAGTGAAGACTTGGTAGGATGAGGCAAAGCTGAAACTCCAGGCCTGCCTTGATTGCACTGATTGGAATGTTTTTGAGGATGCCTCTGCAGACCTAGATGAGCTCACAGATACTGTAACATCATATGTCTGCGAAGACTTATGTGTACCAACAAGGAACCTGCAAATATATAGTAACAATAAACCTTGGTTCACAGCTAAACTTAAGCAGCTACATCGTTCCAAAGAGGAAGCCTACAGAAAAGGTGACAGAATGCTATACAACCAGGCCAGAAACATATTAACAAGAGAGATCAGAGCAGCAAAAAGAAGCTACTCTGAAAAGTGAAGGAATCAGTTCTCAACAAATGAACCAGCAAATATGTGGAAAACTTAAAAACATCACTGGCTTCAAACCTCCTTGCCAGGCAGAAGGAAATCAACAGCAGATGACCTGAATGTGTTTTACTGCAGGTTTGAAAGGAAACTAGAGCCACCTATCTCCACAACCCACATCTCAAACACACTAACAACAGCCAAGCCTCCTACAACCAGTTCATTGGGTTCACAACTACTGGTGATCACAGAAAAAGAAGTGCAAGATCTATTACACAGACAGAAGCCAGGAAAAGCACCAGGGCCAGACAAGATAACTCCTTGCTTAAAAGTCTGTGCTGACCAATTGGCCCCCATCTTCACCCGAATCTTCAATAGATCACTCAAGATGTGCTATGTTCCTTCCTGCTTCAAACGTTCTACCATCATCCCAGTGCCAAAGAAGCCCTCCATCAAGGAACTGAATGACTACAGACCAGTTGCTCTAACATCTGTAGTTATGAACATCTTTGAAAAGCTTGTGCTGTCCCACCTGAAAACCATCATGGAACCACTGTTAGATCCCACGCAGTTTGCATACCGAGCAAATAGATCGACAGATGATGCTGTTAACATGGCTCTGCATTATATCCTACAGTACCTTGAATTTCCAAATACCTACACAAGGGTCCTCTTTGTAGACTTCAGTTCAGCATTCAATGCCATCATACATATACCATGACTGTATGATTGTAACTTTGTCGCTTGTATCCTTACAATTTATATTGACTGTTTCCTAGTATGATTAATTGCTTATTGTACCTATGACTATCATTAAGTGTTGTACCTTATGATTCTTGACTCCTGACAAATGTATCTTTTCTTTTATGTATACACCAAGACAAATTCCTTGTGTGTCCAATCACACTTGGCCAATAAAGTATTCTATTCTACACATACATGAACATACATGTATATGGAAGCATTGCTGGAAATAAAAGTGTTACTTGAGCAAATGGTCTTTGCGTTATGCTAATTTCTCATTATTTTAAATTAAAAGTAAAGTATGTTATGTGCTATAACATGTGCTATGCTATTTGTGAATACAGTAGCAATATTTTACATTTGAAAAATATATACATTTTAGGTGACCTAAAGTCCTGTAACAGTTTTACAAACTTTTTACATTCTATTACAGCTGCATTCTATTAAATTGATCTTGATTGATTATGTGTCATCAATTTCACCTCTTGGTGGCCATATAGATTTATTGCCTGAGTGCACTTTAGCTGCTGGAAATTACTGTTTTAAAAGTATATTTTCTGAATCTGTCATTTTTATTTTAGAGAGGTGCTCCATAATCCTTGAGAGGGAAAGGAGAGTGAGTCTAGATAGTACCTAAAATTGACATTTTTGTTGTTTTTTTCTCTGCCAGCTTGATAAAACTCAGTGTGATGATTTATGTTTTGGGGGTAAATAGCTGTTGAGCACACAAAAGAAGATTTTTGAATATATTATTTCAAAAAGAGAAAAACCTTAGGTTATCGTTCTGATTTTTAAAAACTGCATTTGAGTATAAAAAGGTTATTTTAGCATTCTTGTAATTACTATGTACCTTGGGGATTAAAGATGTATAACTCCTAGTTTAGATAAAACTTGACATATTTCTATTTTGTCCTGACTGGCACTACATTCATATTTATACTTTCATCTCTTCTTTAAAGGTGTGCCTCTTGCTCCTTTTTTTTTTTTTTTTTTTTTTTTTACAACAATTTTTTAAGGCAAGTTAGGTATCAAACAAAAACAGCTCCAAAAGATGTTATAACTTTCCTGGAGGATTTGCATATGCTCTCCTTAAATCCAGCCAATATTTCTGTTTGCTGAGGTTCCTGATCAAGATTAGTGCTCATTTATGACCAGTGAGCTGTCAGTACTCTGGTCATATTGATATCATGTGCCAGGCTAGAATGTGTTTAAGTAGTCTGTGGTTTCCTACTGTTGTGCAAGATTTGTTAGGCATAGGTAATTTACGTTACTTAGTTAAAACAAAGCCAACCCTACATAAATCTGAGCATGGATGGGGACTACTAGACTTTCCTGGGCTCTTTCATGTGGGCTAGGGAATTCTGAGAGTTGGAAGTCCACACATCTTATCGTTGCCACGTTTAAGAAACACCAGCCTAGGCTAAGCAGGGAAGTCCAAAGACAGAAACAGATGTGTCAATGAAATCGTTAGGAGACAAGCCTAATTTGCGAAAGGCTTTGTGTT